TGTCTTAAAGGGTTTATGTGGAGTACAATATTGTATAACTCTATTAACTCAACGTAAACCTAATAATTTACAGCCAGTTTTGAAAGAGAAGCATCTTAGCTCTGGAAATTGTTATTGAATATGTCAATGCTGTTGTAATGAAATGCCTCTTCTAATTATATGGTTATTAAATAAATAATTTAAAAAAGAATTAAATATTCTATACCAATATAATCCAAAGATACATGACTTTAGTACTTATATCGTAAGAAGTCTTCGTTTTCTGTAATTATGCAATTATATATCTGTAAGAATAAAAACATTTGTATGTATAGAAAAAAAAAGAAAATGTGTATTAAACAATGAAGTGTCCCTTTGAGCCAGTAGATGATTCAGTGGGTAAAAGCACTTGCCCCCACACCTGATGACCCTAGTTTGATCCCTGGAACCCACACAGGAGGAAAGAACCAACTCCTGAAATTGTTCTCTGACAGGCACACATATACACACACCGTGGAACACACACAAATACAAAATAAACATAAAGAAAAAAGTCAGATGTGGTGGCATATGCCTTTAATCCCAGTACTTAGGAGGTACAGGCAGGCAGGTTCTCTGTAAGTTTGAGGCCAGCCTGGTCTAAATAAGAGTTCCATGCCAGCATTGACTACACAGTGAGACCCTATCTGAAAGAAAAAAAAAGTAAGTGGGTTAATTCACTAATAAATTATAAATTAGAATGATTATTTTGGTAAGTTAGAATACCAGGATTTACTAACAAGCATGTTCATCAATATGTAAATAGCTAAGAAAACTGTAATCCAGGACTTGGTAGTTCAGTGGTAGAACACTTACCCAGCATTCATAAAGCCCCATACTCAATAAGCAAGTAAATAATTATGATCTAACTATATGAAATATTTTTATCAAGATACAAGCAGTAGCAAAATGCTTCTGAGTTAAAAAATAAAAGGAATGATACAGGATCATACATGTATGAGGGCTTCAAGTATCTGATGAATTCATAGCTATACAAAATGATGAAAAAAAGAGCTGGGGATGGATCACTCTGTAAAATGCTTGAACCTATCATGGTAGAACTAAAGGTAAGTTTGAGGTCAGCCTGGGCTACATGAGACCCTGACTGAAAAAAGAAAGGACACTGGAAGGAACATACCAAAATGACAATCGTATTTCATGTTCTAAGTGATCTTTTCCCTTTTCTGTTTTGTTTTCTGTTTCCGTTTTCCTTTTTCTGTTTCTAAACATCTTGTAATGTTAAATGTTGCTTGTCTTGCTGACCTGAATTTCAAAGGCTATGGGAAAAGGCCCATTGGTTCTATTATCAGAACTCATTATAGAAAGAAATCATGGAGACTCCAGGTATAGGTCAATGGTAAGCTCATGCACCTCACATCACTTCCCCACCCTCCAAGTGCGTGTTTTAAAAAAAATTAAAATTATTTGTGTGGAAGGGCTTTTTATGATGAGAGTGTGGAAGTCAGAGGACAACTTTGTGCAAGTTTGTGGAGTTAGTCTCACCTCCAACCTTTATGTGGTTTCTGGCGATTGAACCTAGATGCAGAACAAATGTGTTTTGCCAGCTGAACCATCTCACCAGCAGGATGGAGTTAGCCCTGTGTGGAGTTTTTTAAGTTTTTTTTTTTTTAATTTAAAAAAAAAAGAGGAAGAGTAAAGTACAAAGGTTTAAAATTGGAGGAAAGACAGCATCTTCAAGAAATGGTGCTGGCAAACTGGATCTCCACTTATAGAAGAATGAAATTGGATCCTTATCTATTATCCTGCACAAAAGTCAACTCAAAATAGATCAAAGACCTTAATGTGAAACCTGAAACTCTGTAACTGTTAGAAGAAAACATGGGCAGTAACCTACAAGATACAGGTGCAGGAAAGCACTTTCTAAATCGACATCACTTGTTTAGGAATTAAGGTCAACAATTGACAAGTGGGGCCTCATTAAACTTTTAAAAAGCTTTTGTACAATAAAAGAAACAATCAAGAAGCCAGGCATGGTGGTACATGCCTTTAGTCCCAGCACTCAGGAGGCAGAGGCAGATGGATCTCTGTGAGTTCAAGGCCAGCCAGGTCTACATAGTGAGTTCTAGGTCAGCTGGGGCTACAGGGAGACCCTGTCTCAAAAAGACAAATAAATAAATAAATAAATAAATAAATAAGTGAAGAGGAAACCCACAGAATGGGAGAAAATCTCCACCAGCTACACATTTGACAAAGGATTAATATTCAGACTATACAAAGAACTCAAAAAACAAAGAATCAAGAAAACAAATGTTCCAATTAAAAGATGGGCTGTTGGGGCTGGAGAGATGGCTCAGTGGTTAAGAGTACTCACTGGTCTTGCAGAAGACCTGGGTTTGAATCCCAGCAGCCACATGGTGGCTAACAACCGTCTGTAACTCCAGTTCCAGGGGAATCTGACGCCCTCTTCTGTCCTCTTCAGGCACTGCAAGACATGAGTGCACTTACACACATGCAGGCATAACGCTCATTCACAAAAATAAAAATAAATAAATCAAAAAGTTTTTTCTTTTTTTGGTCTTTTTGAGACAGGGTCTCCCTGTAGCCCCAGCTGTCCTAGAACTCATTATGTAGGCCAGGCTGGCCTTGAACTTGCAAAGATCCACCTGCCTCTGCCTCCCAAGTGCTGGGATTAAAGACATGCACCACCCGCCCAGCCCCAAAAAAATTTTTTTAAAAAAGGAAAAATGTGCACTATGGATCTGAACTATGGAGTTCTTAAAGAAGAAATAAAATGGCTTAGAAACACTTTAAAAAGTGTTCAACATCCTTATTAATCAGGGAAATGCAAATCAAAGCCACTTTAAGATTTCATCTTACCGCAGTCAGAATGGCTAAGATTAAGAGAATAAATGACACCAAATGCTGCTGAGGATGTGGAGAAAGGGGAGCACTCATTCACTGTTGGTGGGATTGTAAACTGGCACAATCACTGTGGAGAGGTTTTCAAAAAACTGAAAATAAATCTACAATATGATTCAATTATACTCCTTGGTAGTATATGAGTATACTCAAAGGACTCATCCTATTGCAGAGACACTTGTATATCCCTGTTTCTGCTCTTTTCACAATAGTGAAGAAATGGAAACAACAAATGTTGGATAATGAAAATGTGGTCCTTTTTTTTTTTCGGTCTTTTTGAGGCAGAGTCTCCCTGCAGCCCCAGCTGTCCTTGAACTCACAGGGATCCGCCTGCCTTTGCCTCCTGGGTAGTGGGATTAAAGACATGAACCACCATGCCAGGCCAAATGTGGTACATTTTCACAATGGAGTTCTACTCAGGGGTAAAGAAAGACAAAATCATCTAGCTGGTTACACATGCCTTTGATCTCAGCACTCAAGAGGCAGAGGCTGGCAGGCGGCCAGATCTTTGGGACATCAAGGCCAGCCTGGTCTATAGAGTGAGTTCCAGGAGGGAGACCTTGTCTCAAAGACAAAAAAAGACATGAAATTTGCAGGTAAATGGAACTAGAAACTGTTAAAGTAACACAGACTCAGAGAAATACGAGATGTATGCTGTGTCTCATTTGTGGCTCTTAGTACCAAATCCTTATATGTGAGTACATATCCTGATGTAACTGCAGGAGCCAGGAAAATGCAAAGAAACCATGGAGATAAAGGGAAAGAACAAACCTGAGAGAGGGAGACAGTAGGAGACAGGTGTTACCAAGGAGGAAATGGGGAAAACGGGGGTATTTAGCTGGGAAAGGAGGAGAGAGGGTTATACAAGGAACTATGGAAGTAAGGGGGAAGAAGGAGCTCATGAGAGGGGGGATAATAGGAGACAGATATTATCAGGAATGGAATGGGGAAATGGGAGTACTTTAACTGAGGAGGGTTAGCTGGGAGAGTGAGGGGAGAGATAAAGCTTTGGTGGTATGAAAAAGAAGAGGGAAATGGGTTGGTTCAAAAGCCTACTGAGAAATACAAATACAGTATCCGTACGTGAGTGCATGTGCATAGCTGAAGGCTATATAACAAGAAACATGGTGCCAAAGAGGAGAAACATCCTTTCGAGTTGTTGTCAGGGTAGTCCAAGAGACTCCCGAAATAACACAGTCTACTGCAAAGCTCTTGATTTCCTGCCAGGAAGGTAAGACCCTATTGTTGAAGACAGGACATACTTCGGACATAGGATTTGGAGCAATGGAGCTGGAATTGACCTGAAGCCTCCTTCCAGAAGATTAGCTCTCAGTTCTAGGGGATACAATGCAAGCTGCTAAGAGAGAAAAATCAATCAATAGTCCAACCCCAGCTTTAAAGTCTAATAACCACAACAATGACTGGCACAGCAAACTATCTCTATTGGTGCAGCAGTGGCACTTTTATCTTGGGGGTAATCAACAGCTATCTAATTGGACTGAAAGTACATTCAATGGTAGAGAACTCAAGTGTGGTACTGTAAACATAACCAAAATACATGCCTGAAGGCCATAGACTGTATAGAAAAATCCTACATGTCACATTCATAGACATATGTAATTTCTTACTGTATGCTAAATATGTATTCTTAGATTTACAGACAAATATACCATTCATCACTCATCAAAGACACTTCATTTTGCAACAGTTGGGGACTATTACAAAGACAACTGGTCAAACATCGAGAATAAGTGTCTGAGAGATGCCCAGTCCTAAGTGACACATCGACAGTTGAACCTCTACACCTAAGGCTCATGGAACATAGAACAGGGAGTAGAGAGAATACTCATCATTCTGTTCCTGATGTAACAGTGTGATGCACCCAGAAGGCCACAACTGGCTAAAGTGTAGAGAATAAGAGACTACAGAGTGCAACTGTCTGGATAGGACTCTTACATTAAACCTCACCCACCCAAGGCTCAGGTCCCTTTGCACAAGAGGGGATGGAAAGATTAAGAGCCAGAGTTTTCCAGGCTTCCGGGAACTCGCTCATATGAACTTACAGCAATGGTGACAGCAAGCAGAAGACCCATGCAAACTCAAACCAGACAAAAACCCAGCATAGAACTGGGAAAATGGGCAGGAGGCCCCCAACCTTAGGCAAGGAATTATTGGCAGTTGATCACTGCTGGGTTAGGGAGAGTCGATCTTCTCTAAGAGTGTTGCTAGATAGGCTGATGAAGCTCTAGAGGACGAACTCACATGGCGGGAGATCTGGAGACACAAACTTGACTCCATAGGCCTTAGCATATATGACAGAATGCATGAAATCCAGTGGGGAGGGTATGGGGGGGTGCAGATAGGCGAGAGGGTCTAAATATGATTAAGAAATATTGTATGAAATGCACAAATAAAAATATATATCGAAAAATTAAATTGTGCTATCCATAGTTCTGGGTGAAATTCTAAACACAACTCTGAATTCCTCCTTTATACTTTCCTCCAAGGGTAAGGTGCTGGCCACACTGCTGTGTTTAAAATTTCTTCAGGCCTTTAATTTTCACCCTAGAAATGAACTAAACTCATTCACACTGAGGTTTAACATCCAGGGTATATCAAAATTTCTTGTCGGCTGTAAGTCTTAATCTAAATTTTTTAAAAAAGTATATTTATATGTATGTAAATGCACCCACGTTGCGGAGGCCAGAAGAGGGGTTTGGATCCCTTGGAACTGGAGTTAGATGTTTGTTAAACGTCATGAGGGTGCTGGGAATGGAACCCAGGTTCTTTGCAAGAGTAGCTAACTCCTGAGTCATCTCCAGCCCTGCTTCAAAACTAAATTTGTAAGGAGGAATTTCAGGCCCCACTGAAGAGGTCTGTGGCCGTTCTCAGGCTGACAGTAATTTGCCAGAAGGTAGTCCAATTTCCACCACAAAAGACTAGTCATAGGTCTGCTCGCGTTTCCAAATGACCAAAATCGTCTGCAAAAGTAGAACAGAACCCATCTGTCACAGACTAATGTCGGAATCTTGAGACCACGACCCTGGGAGCCCCCCAACGGCCGCTCCGTCCCATTGGAACTGGACCGGGAAGCGGAAGTTGATCAGGCTACGGTGGGAACCTTTCTTCTGTGGGCGTTTCCCCAAGGAGGCTCACAGGCACAGGTCCACGTACCCGTGGAGACGAAGGCTTGGCCACGCCCCGGAAGGCGCAGCTTGGGCTTCCGACGCCGCGTAGCGCTTCTCTCGCGCTGGCTGTGTGGCGATAGGATGGCGGGCCCCGAGCTGCGGGCAGAGCTAGAGCGAAGGCTGGGCGCTCTCGCCATCTGCACGGAGGTGGTCGAGCACCCCGAGGTGAGGCCCCGGCCGGGCAGCTCCACTGCGGCGGGGACCTGGTGTCCGGAGGTGACCAACGCGAGCAGGGCAGAGACTAGGTCTATGCGGTTACCGGGAGGAAACGTCCCTCGGCACGATTGGCTCACGTAGCGCGTGGATAAGAGTAGCGCAGGGACAACCTGTGCGGCAGGCAGCAGAAAGGGTCTGGGAGGGCGGTCAGTTGTCCACGTCATGCGAAGCAGCTATGCATTGCGTTATGTAGCTAAGGTGCGAAGCAGCAGCCTGCCCATTAAGAGGCATCTCTATTAAGAGCCTCAGCAGTGTCGGGGTATGTACAAGCCACCAGGATGAGGGTTTCGTTTAATATTTTGATGCTTTGCAGTTTCATCACAAAACTTACACTATTGCAGTATGGCAAGAATCATCTCCTAAGTAATTGTACAAGCACATACTCATGGGGCTGGAGAGATGGCTTAACAGTAAAGAGCAGGTACTGTGAGTAGGGGACCTGGATTTGGGTCCCAACATGCATCGGGCAGCTCATAGCTGCCTGTAAATCCAGTCAGTCCTTTTCTGGGCTCTGCGGGCACCACACAGGTGCACAAACACATTAATACATATAATTAGAAATAAAAAGTTAAAAATTTAAAGTACTGCCTGTAAACTCCAGTCCAGCTTGGCACTGTGCACATGCACAAACTTTAACATATAAAGTTAAAAAAATTAAAAAAAAGTACATATACTGTGCCTTCATAAACTTTAACATAGTTTACACAAGAACCCTGTACCATTAGGGCTGCATGGCTTGAGGGACACATTTGATAATGGCAAATATAGCAGTCACAAATACTTGAGAAATCAGTGTTTTCTCTGACCTTCCTCCCAGATTGTCACTGTCTTTACTTGTGAAAATTGCCACGCTTTTGATGTTCTTTATACAGGTCCAGGGTCTTACACTGTCCTTTCCCCATCACTGTGGTTGCATACTTTATAGGAATAGGAGTCTAGGGCTGCCATCAACATTTATTGTTAGGGTTAAAAGACAGCTTCTCAGGATGTGATAGCTTGTTTGGGCCATGGCCTATGAAAAACTGCTTCAGGTTTTGAGGTTAGCAATTGTGATGGTTCCAGGTTTTGGGTTTTTGGGGGGAGTTGAGACAGGGTCTTCCTGTAGCCCCAGCTGGCCTGGAACTCACTCTGTAGACCAGGCTGGCCTTCAGCTCACAGATTCACCTGCCTCTGCCTCCTGAGCTCTGGGATTAAAGGTGTGTGCTACCTTCTATGCCTGGCACTTATGTTTTCTTTTGTTGTTTTTGAGAGAGAATTTTGCTATGAAGTTCAGGTTTGCCTTGAACTCTGATCCTAATATCAGCCTCCTGAGTGCCAGGACTACTGGTGTACAAGGGTTTTAAAATATTTACTTGCGGACTGAGGATTTAGATGCATGCCTAGCATGCATTTCCTCTGGGGTCCGTCCCCAGGACCAGAACAAAACAAACTAAAACCAAAACCCAACTCCAAACAACAACAAAAAAACTTTTATAACTGAATAGAGACAGGTCTCTGCCAGTTAACATTCAGAACAGTGAGTAGTACCTAAGCCTTGCTGTTTTTATCCACCAAGCAAAGTATGTAAAAATATGGTTTGTGTATATGCATGCTACCTCTTATGTGATATTTTGCAGGTATTCACAGTTGAAGAAATGATGCCTCATATCCAACACCTAAAAGGAGCACATAGTAAGAACTTATTTCTTAAAGACAAAAAGAAAAAAACCTATTGGCTGGTAACAGTTCTTCATGATAGACAAGTTAATTTAAATGATCTTGGCAAGCAGTTAGGTGTTGGAAGTGGAAATCTGCGGTTTGCTGATGAAACAGCCATGCTAGAAAAACTAAAAGTTGGTCAAGGCTGCGCCACACCTCTGGCACTCTTCTGTGATGATGGAGATATTAAATTTGTTTTGGATTCTGCTTTTCTGGAAGGTGGACATGAAAAGGTATACTTTCACCCAATGACTAATGCTGCAACCATGGGATTGAGCCCTGAAGACTTTCTTGTATTTGTGAAGACAACAGGACATGATCCCATAATACTAAATTTTGACAAAAACTAATTTGGCTAATAATAATGTTCATAATAAACATTTCTGAGAGCTATTATTTTTAATATTTTTTATTTTACATGTATGAGTATATTGTCTACATATATAAGTACACCCATGTTATGCAATGTCCGAGGAGGACAGAAGAGGGCACTGGATCCTCTGGAACTGGAGTTAATGTATGGTTGTTAGCCACCATGTGGGTGCTGGGAACTCACCTGGGGTCCTCTGCAACAGCAGCCGGTGCTCTTAACCACAGGCATCTTTCCAGCCCCTATTTGTAATTAAAAAAAAACTTAAAAGTGATAAATATTATACCTCTGATTTGTTAACTATTATTTTAGAATGACTTTTCATATTAAAGATTTAAAAAGGTGAACTAAGTTTTAGTCAGTTCAGAGATTGTTGTATCCCATTTTCCATGACAGTTATTGCAGAAATGCCATCAACAATTGGGAATACTTTTAAGATTAACTAGCTTACAACTTTAGAGTGTTTATTGTGGTTGGAATATATTTTTGATAGTGGTTATTTTTGGGAAATAGGGATTAGTAATGATTCCCCAGTGAGATAATTAAAACAAACATTGGGTAAGGAGAAGCACTTCCTAATGTTTGGTGAAACTTTTTTTTCCTTTCTTTTTTGAGACAGGGTCTCCTTGTAGCCCCAACTGGCCTTGATTTTAGAGAAATCCCCTGGCATTACAGGTGTATACCACTACATTCTTTTTCTTTTTTTTTGAGATAAGGTCTCATATAGTCCAGCTTAGCTTTGAACTATTTGTGTAGCCAAGGATAACCTCGAACTTTTGATCCTTCCCCCTCTAATGTTGAAGTCATAAACTTGTGCCACTGTGCCAGGCTTATTAAACATAATGTAGAAAAACAAATTAGAGGTAGAAACTGTTGTTACAACCCCCCCCCACCCCCCCATCTTTTTGAGACAGTGTCTCTCCCGGTAGCCCCAGCTAGCCAGAAACTAGCTATGGAGACCTCAATCTCACAGGGATCCGCCTGCCTCTACCTCTCAAGTGCCACCATGCCTGATTTATTTTACTGTCTTATTTTGGAGATAATTTTATCCATCTGTATGGTTAATCTTGGCTGTCAACTTGATGTGATCTGGAATCAAAAAAGAAGCACTCCTTGGGCTGCAGAGATGGCTCAGTGGTTAAGAGCACTGGCTGCTCTTGTAGAGGACCCCAGTTGACTTTCCAGCACCCACATGGTGGATAACAACCATCTATAACTCCAGTGCCAGGGGGATCCGATGCACTCTTCTGACCTCTGTGGGCATTGCACTACAGGTGCACTTACATACATGGAGGCAACATACTCATACACATAATTTAGTACCAAAAAAGAAACAAACAAACACTCCTCAGGGCAGGTCTGTGAGAGCATTTCCAGGAAGGATTAACTGAGGGATAAGACTTTCCTGAGTGGGCTGAAACTTCTGGCAGCTGCCTAGCTATTAAGAGGTCCCAGGAAAACAGTGCTGCTTGCCTGCCATGCTTCTAGCTGGTGACTGTCTATCCCATTGTTGATGCTGCAATCCTTCAGTGACTAGAAGTTCTGCTGCTCTGCCTTTAGCCCACATGTACTGAAGACCAGAGGCTCTCCAGGAATCTTCCAGGCCTTCAGTGGTACCAGCTGGGGACTGCTAAAACATCTAGCCTCATCAACTGAACAGCTACTGGGTTCTCAGCATCTCCTGCAAGTGAACAGCCAGTTTGAGTATCCAACCCAGCTCAGGTCATGTAAGCTGATTTAATAGATCCCCTTTGTACTGTAATATATTTTTTGTACTATATATATTTTTATCTCAGGTCTGTTCCTCTAGAAAACCCTAACACAATCTTCCAGTTATGACCTTGGAAACACTTAAAACCTAGGAAAAATGTAGTCAGTTCTTCATTAGTTGAAGATCTCACATAGGCTAGACTATAAAAATTGTTATCATGAAAACTTTTTCTCTATTCATGCTAATAAAATATTTTTATTTACTTTTATGTGTATGAGTGTATTGCCTGCATGTGTGTAAGCGCACCAGTGTCGTGCAGTGCCCATGGAGGTCAGAAGGCGGCATCAGATCCCCTGGAACTGGAGTTACAGACGGTTGTAGCTGCCATGTGGGTACTGGGAATCAAACCCGGGTTCTCTGCAAGAGCAGTCAGTGATCTTAACTGCTGAGCCATCTCTCCAGCTCCTAAAATAATATTCTTAATAAGAATATATTTTCCCATTTAATCTCTGAAAAATAATCTCTATATGGTTGGGATACTGCATTCAATTTGCATAAACTTGTATTAATAAAAGGTGAAAAAAATACTTATTACCTTGTTCTAAGGTTCTGGGTTTGTTTTTACCTGCTCTGGACTATGTCTCTAAGGTAAAGGGCAGTTTTTTGAGTTGCTTTCCACATAAAATGAAGGAACAGAATCAGAATGTGTGGACCTTGGATATTTTGATAGTGATGTTATGCTAAAGGATTCAAGGCCAGTTGCCTCACGGAGTATGTAAGTCAAAATAAAAGGTTAGTTTTTGTAGCCTATCACATTCTCAGCAATTTTACTTCCTGAGGGTTCAGTTACCTTTGGTCAAATAGTCCAAAATTTTAGTATTAAATAGAAAATCCCCAAATTAAACAGTTTGTAAGTTTTAAATTATATGCCATTTTGAGTAGCATGAGATTTTGTCACTGAATCTTTTCTTTGTCCACACACACACACATACTGCCTACCTATTAATCACTTAGTCCTCATGGTTACCAGACTGACTTTGGCAGTGTATCAGCTGTGTGCTACTGTGCTGGTGTTCAAGTGCCCTTCATCAGTAGCTTAACACTATTATGTTTCCTATGTCACGTACCTCACACATCATCGCATCATTTAGGTATTTTATCTCACATGACAAAAAGGCATAGAGCACAATAAGGAATTTTCAGAAAGGGACTGGGGATATAGCTAAGTGGTAGAACAACAGACTAGCATGCTCAAGGCCCTGAGTTCAAGCCCTAGTACAAAAAAAGCCCGCAAACATTCACAACAATATTCTCCTATGGTTACAGTTTTACTTTATTGTTAGTAAATCTTAACTGTGCCTAATTTATAAATTAAGCTTTTCTTCAGGTGTATGTATGTATAGGAAAAAACACTTGGTGTTTTCAGGCATTCACTGGAGATCATAAAACATTCTTTCTCAGATAAGAGAGCTAAGAGAGCTACTTTCCTCTTTCTTGGGAAAACTTGTAATACCCAAAATTGATCAGGATAAAATACAGTTACAGGTTGTGGGGTTATCTGAAAATAGTCCTCCAGGGCAAAGAATAACACTTGATTGATATGATAAAGTTTAAAAATGATTATAACCATTTGTTATAAAAATTACTTTTTGTTTTATTTGTTTTTATATCAGTTTGAAAACTAAATGTTAATCCAACATAGTTTTTTAAAGGAGAATTAAAAAAAAAAAAAAGGTAAAAGACAAATGATGGCATGTTGTCATGCATGGAATCCTGTGGCTAATATTAGGTATTGCCAAGTAAGTGCCATTCAACTACACATCCCTCATTAACATTAGTTTGAAAGGAAATGTTACAGTTTTCTATTTTGATTTGGTATTTAATAACAGTAAGTACAATGGTAAACATTGAAAAGAAACCTTAGTAGAAATGAAAAGACAGTTTAAACTCAGGTTTTGTCAAAGGGTGTTGTAAGTGCAACATTATCCAGTAAGCATTCCTTTTAAGGCATTTTCACTGTCCAAATATCCCAACATGTAGGCCAAGGTTTATATTATAAAATGGGCTCTTTTTGTATTATTCATTCAAGACATAAAGAAAAATTACATTTTAGGACTAAGAATAGCTGAAAAGGAAAAGACAATTCACTTTCTTCATAAAAAGTAACTTAAAATACAAAAGTCATTTAGAATACATTATTCCCATTATAATTCCAGATTTGGTACAGTATTGATTTTACTTCCTGACATAAACTGTTAAGACAGTACAGGCTGTAGTACTTCATTTGTGAGGTGGCTACAATTCTATAATACACACAGTGAATTTTAAATAGGCTTTTAATATGCCTTGCATGAAAGGTGCTACATGTGAACCTGTCTTGTGAACTCTTTGGTAATCACCAATTCAAAAACTGGGACCAAAACATTTCCACATAGCCAGATAGGAAGCATATTATTACAGAGTTCTGGGCTAAAGCTATTATTCTGTGTGAGAACTTTCAAGTGTTCTTGGGGTTGTAGGTGTTTGTTTAGAACAGAATCAGATAATTAAAAGCATGTTAGACCTGGTTAGGAAAATGGTCCTGGTTTGTTTCTAGTTGGCTTTACTATTTTGTTTGGAAGAGTAGGAGAAAAGAACAATTTCCTACAAAGTCTGCTTCTGAAGCAGATTTCAGAGAAAGAAAATTTTCATGTGGTTATTTTCTAGTCCTTTCTTGAAATGGTTTGAAGAAGGTAGTAAATATAATAGGATGTTTTCATATTTTTATAGTCTTAGTGTATTTCCTTGGTTGTCTTTTTTCTCAGGGTCAACCTCCTCAGATTTGATACTTCATAGGTGATCGTTCAGTATTTTCAGTTGAAGTATGCTGGTTAACTCAGTAGGTTCTCTCTTTTACGGTGTTAGTATTACGGAGAAGTCAAACTGTGTTATTCACTTTCATTGGGCCACCTCACACATTAAGTTTCAACTTTAATTATCCTGGGATGTGTCCTAGTTGTGCAAATTAGATGCTAGTTAATAAAAAATCTAAGTTACCCACTTACTATATTTAGCTAAAACATCCTACACTGTCAACTTCTCAACCAAAAATGAATTTACAGTTTTTTACATGCACGTGTCTCTAGACTGCCATGATACCATATCCATTTGCCAATTTGATACTTGAATCCAAGGAGTCATGATGGAGAGATATTTCAAAGTCTAGAGAATAGATTTTAATATTTCTGTTGTACAACATTTGTATTTTAGTAAGAAGCTTTTGTATTTACATTTATATAGCACCTTTCATTCAAGAGTTTCAAAGTGATCTAATTT